CTCTGAAATCCTCCTCTGAAAAAAAAGCTTCACTTCAAATATGGACTCTGAATAGAAGCAGAGTTTCCGTTTTCTCCGCAGCAGAGACTCAAAAACGTCTTAACAGGAAGTGGAAATCTGGGACACCTGGAACAGAAGGCCTCACACATCCTCCTCTTATCTGTTCCCTTCACAGCCAGCCTCCAGATTTATCACAGATGAAATATTAATGGAGGTCTTTTTTTTTACTGGGTGTTCATCTTCACAGGCAGGTGAGGAGCTGATGAGCAGATCGAGCAGGAAACAGGCGAGATGTTATCGGCTCTGCGGCGGCCATGTTGGAATCCTCCGCCCAGATTTTAAACGAGACGGTTACAGAGGGAAATGATTTCTATTCAGCACTTTTTCTACTATCATTGTGACACTGGAGGGGAGTGCGGGGGTCTCCTGAGGTAAGACATGATGTGAAAAAAGATGCAGGAGTAGTGGATGAAGCAACAGAGTCCTCTATACGACTCTCTGGCGCCCCCTACTGGTCCGGGGTGTCGAGGTGAAAAGCAGCGCCTCTGTAAACACGGGAACTTATACGAGCAACTTGTACGAGCAGCGTCAGCAACAAGATCACAGCTGTGTGTGTGTGTGTGTGTGTGTGTGTGTGTGTGTGTGTGTGTGTGTGTGTGTGTGTGTGTGTGTGTGTGTGTGTGTGTGTGTGTGTGTGTGTGTGTGTGTTTTAATTAAATAGATTGCTAAGAGACCAAATTATGGCTCAGGACAATCAACACCATCTTATTTTATGACTCCATCAATGGAGCTTGTGCACACACACACACACACACATACAGCTTAATGACTTTGTGAATTGCCTGTTTGTTGATCGTTAGTTTCTTCATTAAATTTAGTTCTGACGTAAAAACAATAGAAACATTTGACTCGGGAATGTTTCTTTTACTAAATGAAGTTCTAACAGGAAGTCGTGTTGAAGACATAAAATCCTCGTCTGTTGGTTTTTTGTTTTTGTTTGTACTGTGCAAGAATTAAATGTGACCTACGGGTCTAAAGTCTGAGTACATGCTATAAAAGCTGCATTCTTTCTAATGACCAGCAGGGGGAGAATTTACTGGTTAGAAAAAGAAGTCTCTGATAATAATGTTTTGATTTATTCCCTCAATAAACATTTCTCCTGATGAGTTCATCTTCTCAATCTGTAGTTTCAAATCTTCCTAAAACAGCATGATGTCCATTTAGTAGATGAAGGTCCCATTAAGAGTCCCAGAGAGCAGAAAGAGGGGGAGGAGTTAGGGGGTTAGACCTCAGCAGGGAGCTTTAAGCGGTCCGGTTCACTTTGGTTCGGTTCATTACACATTCATTGATGTTTCCACTGTCAGAAGTTGGGAATGTTACCAAAATCACCGATCTGTACCGTCCTACTTTTTTGGTACCCCTCTGTTGGGTTGCCAAGGTTACCGATCTGACCCTAAAGGGCGGAGCTATCCGTTGATTAGTAAACAAGTATTTTGTGTTTGACCTTGAGTAGAGGTCAAACACAAAAGACGCCATGTTTAAATATCCCTTGGATTTCAAGAGAGTCCGCACTGTTATGACCTGCAAGTTCAGCCGCCACCGTCACCCAGCGCACGCCACATGACACGATTCAAATCCCGCCCCACCTTTCATTGTGTATTGCAAAACACTGCGCATCCCCTCAGAGAGCATGCTGGGATACGTCATCGTGACCTGCACTTTTCTCCATCATGAGAATCATAATAATTCTACTTTCTCCCTCTCTTACCTCCAAGATTCAAAGACCCCTCTAGCGCCCCCTGGTGGGGTCAGGACCCCCGTTTAAAAAAAATCACTGATCAAGAGAAACCTGATTCTTGAATGATGTGGGAAATGTTTCAAGTGTTGTTTTTATTGTGTTGTAACATAAAAGGCAACAACATGGACACACAGACACACACACACAGACACACACACACACACACACACACACACACACACACTTGGGGAGTTGAAGCTTGGTGTGATATAACAGAACTCTGTGTTATTATTGTGGGGACGATGAGATTATTTACTGTGGTATCAGTCAGCTCCCTGCAGAAAAACAGACTTATTACATTCAGGGTTCATTAAAGCTGCAGCACGCACGCACGCACGCACGCACGCACGCACGCACGCACGCACGCACGCACGCACGCACGCACGCACACGCAAAAACAATATTAAAATCACGCCTCAGCAGAATCTTCCTCAGGATTGTTGGCAGATCAGAGTGAACGTGTGCAGCAGATCACAAATACGCTGCTGTTGTGTGTTTCAGAACAAAGACACACAAACTGTTGTCTCACACACACACACACACACACACACACACACACACACACACACACACACACACAGACTTTATTATCAGTCTTGTGGACTTGTTGTTGTGCGGCTGCAGGATAGACCAAAGACCACCAAAGACACCAAAGACACTCTAACTGAGACCAAGTGTGTCTCCCCTCCTTGTCTCCCCCCCTTGTCTCCCCCTGGTGTCTCCTCCTGATGTCTCCCCCCATGTCTCCTCCTGATGTCTCCTCTGGTGTCTCCCCTGGTGGTCTCCTCCTGATGTTCCCCCTGATGTCCCCCTGGTGTCTCCTCCTGATGTCTCCTCCTGATGTCTCCTCCTGATGTCTCCCCTGGTGTTCTCCTGATGTTCCCCCCATGTCTCCTCCTGGTGTCTCCTCCTAATGTCTCTCCTGGTGTCTCCTCCTGTGTCTCCCCCTGATGTCTCCCATGTCTCCTCCTGGTGTCTCCTCCTGATGTCTCCCCCTATGTTCCTCCTGGTGTCTCCTCCTGGTGTTCCTCCTGGTGTCTCCTCCTGGTGTCCCCTGGTTCTCCTCCTGATGTCTCTCCTGGTGTCTCTCCTGGTGTTCTCCTGGTGTCTCCTCCTGGTGTCTCCCCTATGTCTCCTCCTGTGTCTCCTCCTGGTGTCTCCTCTGTGTCTCCCCCTATATCTCTCCTGTGTCTCCTCCTGGTGTTCCTCCTGATGTCTCCCCCTATGTCTCCTCCTGGTGTCTCCTCCTGGTGTTCGCCCTGGTGTCTCCCTGATGTCTCCTCCTGGTCTCCTCCTGATGTCTCCCCTGATGTCTCCTCCTGGTGTCTCCTCCTGATGTCTCCCCTGATGTCTCCCCCTGATGTCTCCCCCTGATGTCTCCTCCTGGTGTCTCCTCCTGGTGTCTCCTCCTGGTGTCTCCTCCTGGTGTCTCCCCCCATGTCTCCTCCTGATGTCTCCTCCTGGTGTCTCCTCCTGATGTCTCCCCCTGATGTCTCCCCCTGGTGTCTCCTCCTGATGTCTCCTCCTGATGTCTCCCCCTGGTGTCTCCTCCTGATGTCTCCCCCCATGTCTCCTCCTGATGTCTCCTCCTGATGTCTCCTCCTGGTGTCTCCTCCTGATGTCTCCCCCTGATGTCTCCCCCTATGTCTCCTCCTGGTGTCTCCTCCTGGTGTCTCCCCCTGGTGTCTCCTCCTGATGTCTCCTCCTGGTGTCTCCTCCTGATGTCTCCCCCTGGTGTCTCCTCCTGGTGTCTCCTCCTGGTGTCTCCTCCTGATGTCTCCCCCTGATGTCTCCCCCTATGTCTCCTCCTGGTGTCTCCTCCTGTGTCTCCTCCTGGTGTCTCCCCCTATGTCTCCTCCTGGTGTCTCCTCCTGGTGTCTCCCCCTGGTGTCTCCTCCTGATGTCTCCTCCTGATGTCTCCCCCTGATGTCTCCCCCTGATGTCTCCTCCTGGTGTCTCCTCCTGATGTCTCCTCCTGGTGTCTCCTCCTGATGTCTCCCCCTGATGTCTCCTCCTGATGTCTCCTCCTGATGTCTCCCCCTGATGTCTTCCCTCTTTATACAGAGAAGTGGCGCCCTCTGCTGTCTGAATGTATTTTTACATTTAAAGGACTTTTCTTATATTCAGGTCAGAGCTGTGATGATCAGCTGATAAGAACCTCTTTTAAAGACTTCTCCACTGCAGGACATGAACAGACGAGAACGAGGATAGAGATCATGTTTTCCATTTCACTAAGCTGAGAGGAAAGGAAGTATGAAAGAAAAGTTCAGTCCAAGTCCGCCTGTGAGACGGTCCTCACTTTGACTATGAGCCGTCCAATCAGCTCGCAATAACCATCATTCATCAGCCATTTAATGAACATATGAGGCCCATCACCTGAAGGGCTGCAGCTCAGGGAATCTGGAGTTACGATACATGACGTACGTGTCTAATCCGTATAGGCTCCGCCCTCTTGTCTTGCAGGTTCCTGTGGATCATTGGTCATCAAATGTTTGAACATTTTATTTTTAATGACCAGTGCCAAGAAACGACGACTTGTTCAGTTACTAATAAATGTTGTAGAAATGGAAGCACTCAAAAATATCTCTGGAAGGCAGTTTGAGTGACAGTTCAGATCTTTATTTAGAAATACAAATATCTGTGTTTTTCAAATGTTTCAGTGGAAATCATTCAAAGGTCAAACCATCACAGAGTATACATCGCCCCAACATTTCACTTTGTTTATCTTCCAGGAGTAAACAAAAGATCGATCATGCACAAGATACAAATAACAACTCAAACACCGATAACCAAACTATCTCATCTGAAAAATAAACAAAAAGTCTCTAACTCACATCCCCAACAGAAAAGGAGAAAAGGAGACTCTCTCAAGACGTCTCAGGACTGCTTTTAGATTTAGAACAATGAAGAATGCTTTTTACAGTATTTACAAACTGCAGGATTTTGACCGACGCCGTCATCTACACCACACAGTCACATTGTGAGAGGATGAAGGCTTAACATCAACATAATCTTAACATTATTGTTTTGTCTTTTTTATCCTACTACAATTTTAAATCGTCTTCTCCTATGTATTTATTTTAATATCTTATTGCTTTTATGTGTTGTATTTCATTTTTATATATATTTTTTAAATTCTTATTGGTGTGCATTAGTCTCTCAATGATTTTATAAACTACTTTTTCGTCAATAACTTTCTGCACTTTTGTAAAGCACTTTGAACTGAAATGTAATTGTCTGAAAGGTGCTACAGTATATAAATAAAGTTTGATTGATGATTGAAGGCCAGGTAAGTCTGTATCTGCAGTTCAACTACTAAAAGTGTCATCAGCTCCTGTCCAATCACAAGCGAGCATGTGCCGTGCAGCAGAGAAAAAGACACTTAATTAAAAAAAAATGGCACCTAATCACACATTACAATATAAGACTCATCTGTGAGTTTTGTCTCTCCAGAGGTTACAAGAGGCGGCTGTGGTTCAGTGGAGTCAGCCCCATCTCCATCGGAAGGTCAAAGGTTCAATCGCCAGATGCTGAAGCTACATGTCTGATATGTTCTTGGGTAAGACACTTAACCCCAAGTTGCTCTCTGCTTCATTGGTGACGTGTGAGTGTATGAATGGATGAGTTAATACACTGCAGCCTCTACCATCAGTGTGTGAATGTGTAGGTGTGACATGCGGAGTAAAAGCACTTTGAGAAGTCAGAAGACTAGAAAATAAATATACAAGCTCAAGTCCATTTACCATCTGGTCAGTCTTCACTCCCAGAGTCAGAGAAGTCCTCAGTCTTGACCTCAACCTTAATATCAAAATGTCTCTCTGGATCTGAATTCCTGTCCGCTTCTGGTCCTCCACAGTCCTCTTCATCGACTCCTGTTTCAGAATCACTTTTCTCCTCTGATGTTTTATTTGGTTGAAGCTCTGAAGCCTGATGTGAAACACAGTTGTGTCTTTGTAACTGGGTGGGCCAAGAGAAGCGTTGGTCACAGACCCTGCAGCTGAACGGTTTCTCTCCTCTGTGATGTGCCAGGTGTGTGGCCAGATTAGACTTGTGGTAAAATATTTTATCACACTCGGAGCAGCTCAACGGTTTCTCTTTAGAGTGAATTAACATGTGTGCAGTCAGATAATACTTTTGGTGAAATCTTTTGTCACACTCGGGGCAGCCAAACGGTTTCTCTCCCGTGTGAACTAACATGTGTGCGGTCAGTTTAGATTTTTGGAGAAATCCTTTTCCACACTCAGTGCAGGTAAAGGGTTTCTCTCCTGTGTGAACGACCACGTGCCGGGCCAGACAAGACTTCCGTTTAAATCCTTTACCACAGTCAGAGCAGCTGAACAGTTTCTGTCCCGAGTGAACAACCATGTGTGCAGCTAGTTGCCCTTTCTTTGAAAACGTTTTACTACACAGAGAGCAGCAGAAGGGTTTCTCCTTTTGGTGCGTTTCCATGTGGTGAATCAGATATCCCTTTTGTTTGAAGGATTTGCCACACTCAGAGCAGCTGAAGGGTTTCTCATTTAGATGAATTCTCTTGTGCTGAATTAGATTTCCTTTTTGTTTAAAGGATTTCCCGCACTCGGAGCAGCTAAAGAGTTTCTCTTTTAGATGAGTTCTTAAGTGTTGATTTAAATACCCTCTTTGACTGAAGTTTTTACCACATAAAGAGCAGCTGAAGGGTTTCTCTCCTGTGTGAGTTCTCATGTGTTTGATTAGATCCCGATTTGTTTTCAGTGTTTTCCCACACTCAGAGCAGCTTTGTGATTTCTTATCAGTCTCTGAACTGTCGTCTTTAAAAAGATCCAAACTGTTTATCCCAGACTGTTCTTTTATCTCCCTCCGATCATCAATGTCATCGGGTTCAGAAGAGTCTTCGGTCTTGACCTCAATCTCTACTTGCAATTGTCCCTCTGGACCTGGGTTCCTGATTGGTTCTTGTCTAACACCATCCTCTTCAGCCTCGTCAGCACTTTCTGCCTCTCCTGTCTCCTCATTCTGGTTGAGAAGCTCTGAAGCCTGATCTAGGACACACTTGTGTCTTTTTAGCTGTATATGCAAAGAAAAACTTTGGTCACAAACCCTGCAGCTGAAGGGTTTCACCTCGCAATGATTTGCCAGGTGAGGTGTCAGACTGCAACTGACTGGTTTCTCTCCTGAAGGAACCAAAGTGTGTGTAGTCATGTCAGACTCTTGGTGAAAGCTTTTATCAACCCAGTGCAACTAGAGGCGTTTTCTTCTGAGTGAGCCAACATGTGTCTAGTCAGATTAGACTTCTGATGAAAACTTCTCCCACACTCAGTGCAGCTAAAGGGTTTCTCTCCTGTGTGAGCTATCATGTGCCTGTTCAGACAAGACTTGTGTTTAAATGTTTTGTCACAGTCCGAGCAGCTGAACAGTTTCTGTCCCAAGTGAACAAACCTGTGTGTGCTCAAATGAGACTTTTGGCGAAAACTTTTACCACACTCGGGGCAGCTGAAGGGTTTCTCTCCGGTGTGAACTCTCATGTGATGGATTAGACTCCGATTCTTCTGGAACGTTTTCCCACACTCAGAGCAGCTGTGTGATTTCTTTTGTCTCTTATCTTTAAGGAAGTCCAAATAGTTTAACACGGACTGATGTGCCGCTGTGTCCCTCCAATCATCACTGTCGTCAGTCTCATGTTCAAAAGAGTCTTCATTCTTGTGCTCAGTCTCTGGATGTAAACGTGTCTCTGGATCCGGGTTCCTGCCTGGTTCTGGTCCTCCACAGTCCTCTCCATCAGCTCCGGTTTCCATGTGTTCAGCTTGTCTCTGATGAAGCTGTGAGACCTGAGGTTTCTCTTCTTCATCTTCACTCTTCACAATGACAGCAGTGAAAGGGAACTCCTCTTGAAGCTGCTCTCCCTCCTGACGCTCCACAGATCCTCCTGTTCCTCTTTAATGCGTCGGGGCTCGGTGTCCTCCTGGTCCAGACTGGGGATCCACGTCTGCCGCTCAGGAGGAAGCTCTCCAGCAGCTGCTGGAAGACTGCAGAAAACACCAAAATACAACAACACATGTGATGAAAAGTGTTCATACTTAATCGGTGTATAACAGTTTTGATCTCTGGTCAATAAAGGATGTAGAGTTGAAACAGGGCGGAGTTAAAGGGAGGGAGATTAGGTCTACACTTTGTCACAGGTGGATGATAAGTCCATCCCTGTTGGATCTGTGGACCCATTTGTACGACTGTGATGGAGACAGAATATTATAAACACTGGGTCCTGGTAATAAAAAACTTTAACGTACAATGTGTAGAATTTCATGACGATGTTTACATTAAAATATCTAAATTAATTTAAAATTGACTACCCGAGTTGAAACAGGGCGGAGTTAAAGGGAGGGAGATTAGGTCTACACTTTGTCACAGGTGGATGATAAGTCCACCCTGTTGGATCTGTGGACCCATTTGTACGACTGTGATGGAGACAGAATATTATAAACACTGGGTCCTGGTAATAAAAAACTTTAACGTACAATGTGTAGAATTTCATGACGATGTTTACATTAAAACATCTAAATTAATTTAAAATTGACTACCCTATCTTATATATTTTATTTTGTTGAGTTCTTACATTCCCTCAAATTTCCAACAGTTATCAAAGCCAGAGAAATGTGTAATTTTATAGCTGTAACAGGCTATAGCTTGTCGAGTAGCAGAGAGAACTCCCATGATTCCCCGTCAGCCTCGATGTCATCTTTTATTATTGTAATATTGATTGAGAGCCCCCTAGTGGCAGAATATAAATATTCTATCTTTAATACCAGCTTAAGTTTATGCAAAAACCCCATTTCCAAAGAATTCAAAACGCTGGTAGACAAAGTGTGTGTGTGTGTGTGTGTGTGTGTGTGTGTGTGTGTGTGTGTGTGTGTGTGTGTGTGTGTGTGTGTGTGGAGCTCCCGCTGTGACTGGGACACCAAGGTTACAGCGTGGTGGACACTCTTCAGACCTCAGCACAGTTTGACACTTTGTCTCACGTGAGCTTGCGCCCAAAGTCGGCGACGGTGTTTCTGAATCTGGTGATTTCCACACAGTCATGTCTGTTTTCTGTTTTTTTTAAATGCAGTGATGTCAGCAGGCCTGAAAGTTGGTTTTTTTAGCCACTTTTACCAAGAGGGTTGCCACTTGGTAAAAAGGATAAATAAAAGATATGCATCCAGAAACAGAGGTGCACCTGTTCTGGAACTGTCCCCCCCTTACACCGACAGATTCTGGAAAGATGACGTACCCCGTTAATATCTTTGATAACATTTACTCTGAACTTTCTCTTTGTTGTAAAAATTACTGCTGTTTCCATAACAACAGTAAAAAACATACAAATATGATTATACCTATTAAATGTTTTGATTCTTTGAAGGAGCAGTATGTAACTGACCCCTAGTGTTTAAAATGGGTAGTGCAGTCTAAATTCTAAACATCATAGAGAGCTGCCCCCCCCCCCTCCTCCTCTGTAGAGTGGATGCTCACTCAGGTCACCATGTGGTGGACTCTGAAGCTTCAGTGTTTATCCAGCTCTGCATGGGTCTGTAAACCTTTCTGTGTTCTAACCTCTCTCCATTTTTCAAAAGCATCTCCAATATTGATCCTAGTTTGAGCACGTTTCTGCTCGTGGAGCTTATTAGAAACATGCAGAGGCTTTTTAGGTCGGGTACAATCACTTCTATCTGAACCACTTCTCTTGACCGCTTCCATCACTGCAACACCTGTTGACCTGATAACTGCTCTCATATCTGACAAACCGAGGGGCGTCCAAAACGGCCGTGTGGGGGCGTGTCTTAAAAGCGCCTACCTTCTCTGGTCCAAACAAATCCAGAGCATTCAGGAGCAGAATCTAAAGTTAGAAGGAGGACATACTGGCTGCTGCATTGTTGTCAGAGAAGCCAGCACTTCAACATGTTTCCTTAATGATCAGAGAGTAAGATACCTTTATCAGCTCACTGATTGGTCCTTCAATGTAAACAACAAATCCACAAAGATAAATGTTGTTCCTCCAAACCTTAGATCATGTTTTTATTAGACAGTTCCCCTCTCTCTGTTATTAACATGTTAAGATAACAATAGAACTGTTTCCGGTCGTGACGTCACCGTAACGTTTAGACTCGAGCCGCACTTCTTCTCTGCCTTGTGTTTAGTAGAAAGAGGGGAGGTCAGTGAGAGGAGGAACAGAAACAGAACAAACCTGCTCTGTGTTCGTGAAGCTGAGAGCTGAAAACATCGTCCAGGAGTTTCCATTTCCGGTCTCTCTCTCTTCTTCGGATCCACTAAACAAACCGGAAGTCTCTTCAGCAGCCGCGGATAGTCTCAGGTTGACACAAAGACACTGAATAATGTCTGCGCCAAAAAAACACGATTAACCCTCCAAACAGAAACTCTGTCCCCCGGCTAGCATGCTAAGCTAGGCTAAGCTAAGCTAGCTGTGTGGTCTATGTGGAGATGAGTCAGAGCTGAGACTCTGAGATGAACATAAACAAACATTCAGAGGTTTATTCAGACATACGGAGGCTCTGAAGGATCATTCCTGCTGCTGCTTTACACTCAAAACAAACACGACCTCCTTACTGTTACGACCCGCCGCCATTTTGCTAAATACTTCTTCTTCTGCTTCTTCTTCGTGTTTTACTGAAGTTGGCATCCATCACTTTGGTGCATTACCGCCACCTACTGTTCCGGAGTTTTCTTGTTTGGAGGTTTGCACCCATGAATGTCGCATTTCTCACTTCTTCATCCTGAACCAATAAATCACATTTGGGTGATTCCTGATCAGCTGTTCCTCCAGCTGTTCCTCCAGCTGCCCCCCCCCCCCGTGTCTCCTCTTTGCACAGACTTACAGCTGTCCTTAGTCATGATTGGTTCACCCTTTATACAGAGAAGTGGCGCCCTCTGCTGTTTGAATGTATTTTTGCATTTAAAGGTCCAAACCCAGAATATGAGACGATCACACTTTTTCTATCAACACCTTTCTTATAATCAGAGCTGTGATGATGATGATGATGATGATGATGAGCAGCTGATAAGAACCTCTTTAAAATGTTTTTAATATGGAAACATTTTTATTCGCCCGGCCTCTCGGCAGAAACACAAATAAAGCCCTCCATACTTTCTCCTTTGAAATCAAAGCTGCTGCATGTTTGTGTGTTTGCGTCTGAAATGAGTTTCCTTAGAAGGGTTTCTTGGCTCGGCCTTAGAGAGAGGGGGAGGAGCTCAGGGTAGAGCTGCTCCATCAGGCATCTGATCAGGATGTCTCCTGGACGCCTCCCTTTGGTGGTCGTCAGGGAAACTTACCTGGGAAGAGACCCCCCCCCCCCTCCGCGGGGGTAGAGCTCGATGGAGGGGTTTTGTATCCCATCAGACCTGGGAACGCCTCAGAATCCCCCCAGGAGGAGGAGGAGCTGGAAAACAATGCTGGGGAGAGGGGAAGCCCGGGTTGACTTAGTGTGCCTGCACTCACCAGCGGTGAAGATTCTCAAAGCATCATCTAATCGTTAATTCATGTTTCATGCAAAGAAATGATGATGTGGAAATGGAAGCACTCAAAAAGATCTCTGGAAGGCAGTTTGAGTGACAGTTCAGATCTTTATTTAGAAATACAAATATCTGTGTTTTATGTGCAGAGGAAACTGAGATTTAACAGCTTGTCTGTTTTCAATAGTGACATCCTTACGCTGCTTTTATTCCCCTTTTTGAGAGAACAAAGAATTCAGGGAAATCCTTCTGAATCAAATGTTTCAGTGGAAATCATTCAAAGGTCAAACCATCACAGAGTATACATCGCCCCAACGTTTCACTTTGTTTATCTTCCGGGAGTAAATAAAAGATCGATCATGCACAAGATATTGTAAGTTAAATATTTTCACGTCCAGCCTAGGGAGGGAAGGAGATGCAGCATATACATGACCCTCTCCTTCCTCACCCCCGAGGAGGACTAAACAAACGGATATGAAGCCCCCCAATACATGAGAGGGAGAGTAAATGACAAAATAACAACTCAAACACTGATAACCAAACTATCTCATCTGAAAAATAAACAAAAAGTCTCTAACTCACATCCCCAACAGAAAACAGGAGGAAAGTGTCTCAGGACTGCTTTTAGATTCAGAACAATGAAGAATGTTTTTACAGTATTTACAAACTCCAGGATTTTGACCGACGCCGTCATCTACACCACGAGCTTTGCACGCCACAGTCGCACGCCTGTCCAATCACAAGCAAGCATGTGCAGAGAAAAACAACAAAGAAAATCGCAACATTACACTACAGGAGTCATCTAACTGGTTTCTCTCCTGTCTGAGTTTTTGTCTCTCCAGACTTGATAAGGGGCGGCTGTGGCTCAGTGGTAGAGTCGTCCGTCTCTCAACTGGAAGCTTGGAGATTCAAACCCCAGCTCCTGCAGCCACATGTCCGACGTGTTCTTGGGATTGACACTTAACCTCAAGTTGCTCCCGCGGCTTCATCAGCAGCGTCTGAATGTGTTTGAATGGTGTCTAATTACCATTTACAAGCTGAATGTATCTGGTCTCCTCCCAATCATCTCATTTTGTCTTCACTCCCAGAGTCAAAGAAGTCCTCAGCCTAGACCTCAACCTCAATGTCAAAATGTCTCTCTGGATCTGAATTCCTGTTTGCTTCTGGTCCTCCACAGTCCTCTTCATCGACTCCTGTTTCAGAATCACTTTTCTCCTCTGATGTTTTATTTGGTTGAAGCTCTGAAGCCTGATGTGAAACACAGTTGTGTCTTTGTAACTGGTTGGGCCAAGAGAAGCGTTGGTCACAGACCCTGCAGCTGAACGGTTTCTCTCCTCTGTGATGTGCCAGGTGTGTGGCCAGATTAGACTTGTGGTAAAATATTCTATCACACTCAGAGCAGCTCAATGGTTTCTCTTTTGAGTGAACTAACATGTGTGCAGTCAGATAACCCTTTTTGGCAAATCTTTTACCACACTCAGTGCAGCTAAAGGGTTTCTCTCCTGTGTGAACTCCCACATGTTTGTCAAGAAAGCACTTCCGTTTATATACTTTACCACAGTCAGAGCAGCTGAACAGGTTCTGTCCCGAGTGAACAACCTCGTGTGCAGCTAGCTGCCCATACCTTGAAAATGTTTGATCACACTCAGAGCAGCTCCATGGTTTCTCTTTTTTTGAGTGAGACAACATGTGTGCAGTCAGATAACTCTTTTGGTGAAATGTTTTGTCACACTCTGGGCAGCTGAATGGTTTCTCTCCTGTGTGAACTAACATGTGTTCAGTCAGATAACACTTTTGGTAAAATCTTTTACCACACTCAGGGCAGCTAAAGGGTTTCTCTCCAGTGTGAACCACCACGTGTCTGGCAAGACAAGACATCCATTTAAATCCTTTACCACAGTAAGAGCAGCTGAACAGTTTCTGTCCCGAGTGAACAACCTCGTGTGCAGCTAGTTGCTTTTTCTTTGAAAATGTTTTATCGCACTTAGAGCAGCTCCATAGTTTCTCTCTTTTTGAGTGAACTAACATGTGTGCAGTCAGATAATACTTTAGGTAAAATCTTTTGCCACACTCAGTGCAGCTAAAGGGTTTCTCTCCTGTGTGAACTCCCACGTGTCTGTCAAGACCAGACTGCTCTTTATATCCTTTACCACAGTCGGAGCACCTGAACAGTTTCTGTCCCGAGTGAACAACCATGTGTGCAGCTAGCTGCCCTTTCTTTGAAAACGTTTTACTACACAGAGAGCAGCAGAAGGGTTTCTCCTTTTGGTGCGTTTCCATGTGGTGAATCAGATATCCCTTTTGTTTGAAAGATTTGCCACACTCAGAGCAGCTGAAGGGTTTCTCGTTTAGATGAATTATCATGTGTTGATTTAGATACTCTTTTTGACTGAAGCTTATACCGCATAAAGAGCAGCTGAACGGTTTCTCTCCTTTGTGAGTTCTCATGTGTTTGATTAGATCCCCATTTGTTTTCAATGTTTTCCCACACTCAGGGCAGCTTTGTGGTTTCTTATCAGTCTCTGAGCTGTCGTCTTTAAAATGATCCAGACGGTTTAAATGAGACTGTTGTTTCATCTCCCTCCGATCATCAATGTCATCAGGTTCAGAAGAGTCTTCAGTCTTGACCTCAATCTCTACTTGCAATTGTCTCTCTGGATCCGGGTTCCTGCCTGGTTCTGGTCCTCCACAGTCCTCTCCATCAGCTCCGGTTTCCATGTGTTCAGCTTGTCTCTGATGAAGCTGTGAGACCTGAGGTTTCTCTTCTTCATCTTCACTCTTCACAATGACAGCAGTGAAAGGGAACTCCTCTTGAAGCTGCTCTCCCTCCTGACTGCTCCACAGATCCTCCTGTTCCTCTTTAATGCGTCGGGGCTCGGTGTCCTCCTGGTCCAGACTGGGGATCCACGTCTGCTGCTCAGGAGGAAGCTCTCCAGCAGCTGCTGGAAGTCTGCAGAAAACACCAAAATACAACAACACACGTGATGAAAAGTGTTCATACTTAATCGGTGTATAACAGTTTTGATCTCTGGTCAATAAAGGATGTAGAGTTGAAACAGGGCGGAGTTAAAGGGAGGGAGATTAGGTCTACACTTTGTCACAGGTGGATGATAAGTCCACCCTGTTGGATCTGTGGACCATTTGTACGACTGTGATGGAGACAGAATATTATAAACACTGGGTCCTGGTAATAAAAAACTTTCAGTTAAATGTACAATGTGTAGAATTTAATTTACATTTTTTCATTATAATATCCAAATTAGAGGTGTGGCCCTGATTTCTCACTCTATCCACTATCCTATCTCTACAATAAAAGGCACAAAAATAAATCTTTAACTTGACCTGCGGGGGGGGGGGGCAGACACTGAGTGTGTATATACTGTATATACTACCAATATAATGGTAGGGGAAACACTTGTAGGCTAACAGAGGGATTTGTGACAGAAAACAACATCAATTGAGTCCCGGTCCTGGTCTTGCTGACTTTATGAGCAGAGTCAGCTGGTCCTGCAGGCTCAGACCACAGTGCTCCGCTGCAGGCTGAAACGGCTTGACTCGGTGTCTCTTTAGCCGACCGCAGCTCGGGTTAGCATCTTCATCACAGGTAAAGGTGTGTTTAAACTGATGCCTCGCTGTCTTAAGTCCAGGATAACTAAAAGAAGGGGGCTGTGGCGTTGACTCGGGATAAAGTGAGCGGCTGTAAACACAGTAGAGTCCCGACAGTATCACCGCTAAGTGCACCTCCGCTTAAGATGAGAAACACTTTCTACTTCCGACAAGTTCTTCACAATAAAAGTCCCCTGCCTATCTGTAGTTGTAGTGCTTTTAATGTGAAACATTCATAACAGGAAATGGGGTGTTTACAGCAGTAGCAACTTAACACAACTCGTGTGAAATAAAAAGAAACAAAACTAACCCTGAACAAAGCTCAAAGCTAAAGACTACAACGTCCTGAGAAGAGAACACAGAGAGACTTCAAAACATAATACTGTCATCTAATGAAATAAACTTATTACCTATACTGTAGGCTACCTCTATAATGTATTATAGCCATCGATGGCTCCACAGTGCTCCCTTCCCCCCACATCCGTAACCTTGGTGTTATCTTCGACCAAACCCTCTCCTACGACAAACACATTAAACAAATCACCAAAACAGCCTTTTTCCACCTCAGAAACATCGCCCACCTCCGCCCATCACTCTCATTCTCAGCTGCCGAGACCCTCGCCCACGCATTCCTCACCTCCAGATTAGACTATTGCAACAGTCTCCTCTATGGTTCACCATCCAAATCACTCAAGAAACTTCAATACATTCAAAACTCCGCTGCTCGTCTCCTCACACACTCCCGCACCCGAGATCACATCACCCCCGTCCTTCATGACCTCCACTGGCTCCCCATCCCCCAGCGTATCCACTTCAAACTCCTCATCATCACCTACAAAGCCCTTCACAACCTGGCTCCCCTCTACCTGTCTGAGCTCCTCCACCGACACACTCCCACCCGCACTCTCAGGTCTGCGGATGCAAACCTCCTGCCCCCCCCTGCAGGACCAACCTTCGGTCCTGGGGGGACAGGGCCTTCTCCATTGCAGCTCCCACCCTCTGGAACTCTCTCCCTAAAAACATCAGAGACTCCCCCACACTCACTTCCTACAAGAAATCCCTCAAAACTCACCTTTTCATCACCGCCTACAACCACTGACTCCCCTCCCCCTACATTACTTCTTCATTGTGCTGTCCTCGTCGTTTTTTGTTTTGTTTTTATGGTTTTATATTTTGTCAAAGCGTCTTTGGGTTCCTAGAAAAGCGCTATAAAAAACAATATATTATTATTATTAATAATTTTAACTTACAATGTAAAGATATTGATAATGACATTGTTGTCTAAATTTTACAAAAGGAGTTCATATTTGTCAGACTGTTTGTGTTTATGGAAAAGTAGACGTGTGCAGTAAAATAGAAAAGTGAGGAGAACAGAATAGAAGAGTCACAGCTGTACTAACGAGAACCGACGGCCAACGATCTCACTGGTGTGTCAGAGCCTTCAGCTGAGCGAGCGTAGCGCTTTGACAGGTCTGACTGTGTGTGTGTGTGTGTGTGTGTGTGTGCAGGTCTGACTGTGTGTGTGTGTCTGACTGTGTGTGTGTGTGCAGGTCTGACTGTGTGTGTGTGTGTGTGTGTGCAGGTCTGACTGTGTGTTTGTCTGACCATGTGTGTGTGTGTGCAGGTCTGACTGTGTGTGTGTGTGTGTAGGTCTGACTGTGTGTGTGTGTGTGTGTGTGTAGGTCTGACTGTGTGTGTGTGTGTAGGTCTGACTGTGTGTGTGTGTAGGTCTGACTGTTTGTGTGTGTGTGTGTGTGTGTGTGTGGAGCGACACCTCATGGACACTCTTCAGACCTCAACAACTCGGACCCAAAGTAGGAGACGGATTCTGGACTAAAGACTAAATCCACAAAGCTGAATGTTGATCCTCTAAATGTTTTTATTAGACAGCTTCCTCTCTCTGTTATTAACATGTTTATATTTATATCTCTGTTATTAACATGTTTATATTTATATCTCTGTTATTAACATGTTTATATTTATATATCTGTTATTAACATGTTTATATTTATATCTCTGTTATTAACATGTTTATATTGTATCTGTTATTAACATGTTTATATTTATATCTCTGTTATTAACATGTTTATATTTATATATCTGTTATTCACATGTTTATATTTATATCTGTTATTAACATGTTTATATCTCTGTTATTAACATGTTTATATTATATCTCTGTTAATAACATGTTTATATCTCTGTTATTAACATGTTTATATTATATCTCTGTTAATAACATGTTTATATTCTCTGTTATTAACATGTTTATATTTTATCTGTTATTACCATGTTTATATTTATATCTCTGTTATTAACATGTTTATATTCTCTGTTATTAACATGTTTATATTTATATCTCTGTTATTAACATGTTTATATTTATATCTGTTATTAACACGTTTATATTTATATCTCTGTTATTAACATGTTTATATTTATATCTGTTATTAACATGTTTATATTTATCTCTGTTATTAACATGTTTATATTTATATCTCTGTTATTAACATGTTTATATTTATATCTCTGTTATTAACATGTTTATATTCTCTGTTATTAACATGTTTATATTTTATCTGTTATTACCATGTTTATATTTATATCTCTGTTATTAACATGTTTATATCTCTGTTATTAACATGTTTATATTATATCTCTGTTATTAACATGTTTATATTTATATCTCTGTTATTAACATGTTTATATTTATATCTGTTATTAACATGTTTATATTTATATCTCTGTTATTAACATGTTTATATTTATATCTCTGTTATTAACATGTTTATATTTATATCTGTTATTAACATGTTTATATTTATATCTCTGTTATTAACATGTTTATATTTATATCTGTTATTAACATGTTTATATTTATATCTCTGTTATTAACATGTTTATATTTATCTCTGTTATTAACATGTTTATATCTGTTATTAACAGGTTTATATTTATCTCTGTTATTAACATGTTTATATTTATATCTCTGTTATTAACATGTTTATATTTATATCTCTGTTAATAACATGTTTATATTTATATCTCTGTTATTAACATGTTTATATTTATATCTGTTATTAACATGTTTATATTCTCTGTTATTAACATGTTTATATTTATATCTCTGTTATTAACATGTTTATATTCTCTGTTATTAACATGTTTATATTCTCTGTTATTAACATGTTTATATTTATATCTGTTATTAACATGTTTATATTCTCTGTTATTAACATGTTTATATTCTCTGTTATTAACATGTTTATATCTGTTATTAACATGTTTATATTTATATCTCTGTTATTAACATGTTTATATTTATATATCTGTTATTAACATGTTTATATTCTCTGTTATTAACATGTTTATATTTATATCTGTTATTAACATGTTTATATTTATATCTCTGTTATTAACATGTTTATATTTATATCTGTTATTAACATGTTTATATTCTTTCTCTGTTATTAACATGTTTATATTTATATCTCTGTTATTAACATGTTTATATTTATATCTGTTATTAACATGTTTATATTCTTTCTCTGTTATTAACATGTTTATATTTATATCTCTGTTATTAACATGTTTATATTTATATCTGTTATTAACATGTTTAGATTCTCTCTCTGTTTTCTACTTTTAAATGGATTTCCCAAGCCCTTAACATTCCATGAATGTATTTTCATGTCTGACATGGTAACTGCTGCACATTAAAATAAATAACCTTTAAAGTATGTAGTTGGCCACTGATTTTATTAAGTAACATAAATAAAACTAAAAAAGAGAAAACTAAAAAAGAAGAATTAACCCACAAATAACATAAATCGTGATAGTCGAGGGGAAGGTAAGGGGAGAGAAGGAAAAAATGTATATTTCATGTTTAAAAACAGAGAGTGACAAAATTACAAACAATAGAACTGTTTCCGGTCGTGACGTCACCGTAACGTTTAGACTCGAGCCGCACTTCTTCTCTGACTTGTGTTTAGTAGAAAGAGGGGAGGTCAGTGAGAGGAGGAACAGAAACAGAACAAACCTGCTCTGTGTTCGTGAAGCTGAGAGCTGAAAACATCGTCCAGGAGTTTCCATTTCCGGTCTCTCTCTCTTCTTCGGATCCACTAAACAAACCGGAAGTCTCTTCAGCAGCCGCGGATAGTCTCAGGTTGACACAAAGACACTGAATAATGTCTGCGCCAAAAAAACACGATTAACCCTCCAAACAGAAACTCTGTCCCCCGGCTAGCATGCTAAGCTAGGCTAAGCTAAGCTAGCTGTGTGGTCTATGTGGCGATGAGTCAGAGCTGAGACTCTGAGATGAACATAAACAAACATTCAGAGGTTTATTCAGACATACGGAGGCTCTGAAGGATCATTCCTGCTGCTGCTTTACACTCAAAACAAACACGACCCTCCTTACTGTTACGACCCGCCGCCATTTTGCTAAATACTTCTTCTGCTGCTTCTTCTTCTTCTTCTTCGTGTTTTACTGAAGTTGGTGCATTACTGCCACCTACTGGACTTTAATTACTAATCCCTATAATAAAAAAAAGACTGAGGAGATGATTGGGAGGAGACCAGAGAACAACAGTTAGGATCCAACGAAGAAGAAAAATATTTATAATGGTAATAATAATAATAATAATAATAATAATAATAAAATTAAAATAAAATAAAATAAAATAAAATAATAATAATAAATAAATAAAAATGATATCAACACCATCCACCTTCCACCTCAGATTAATGATGGGAGTCCTGTTCAAAGAGACTTACAAAATAACTTTTTTTTAACTAGTTCATTTTTTTTTACCACTATGCAATGTTTTTGTTGCAGGTCGTCCAGTACTTGCACTTCAGAGCTCCGTCCACTAGAGGGAGCCACTATCACTGATGATTCCACATCCAGAGAACAAGGAAGAGGGAATATTGGACTCCGGACTGGACTGTGATCTGTAATCTGTGACCTGTGACCTATGACCTGCTATCTGTGTGGGGATAGTGATCTAGATAATCAAAGCTGTTTCTGTGTCTGTACCTTTAAATATGTAAATGAGCTGCGTCTGACCACGCCGGTACTCGGTGCTTTCTCGCTCCATGTCCTATTGTGTACAGTGAGAAGGCAGACTCAGAGGGCAGAACAAACACCTAGCTGTGGGAGTGTCACCCACCTGGGGGAGGGGCTACTGCCCTTTGTGATGTCATGAAGGGAAAATCTCCAAACGGCCTGTTTGAGCACACATTTTCTGAAAAGTGGAGCAGGCAGAAGACGGAGAGGATGGACTTTTCTCATCATTGGGGGGTTTGTAGACGGACTAGAGACACGTTAGAGTTAGAGGAACATGGAGAAGTGATTCAATTCAGACCTCAAAAGAAAACTAGACTTTAGTGTTAAATCTAAAATCTTTTCAGTTTTTGTGCGGCTGCGACTCAGGTTCAAACTCATTTTCTCTTTATTTTCCTGCTGTGACCATTAATCTGACACCTACGATGACTCAGCCGTCTCAGCACACACCGACAGAGAGCGGAGAGTCATAAAGAGGTGAAAAAAGTAAAATTACAGCTGTGCTTATATTTTCAGACACATATTGTGGAGGGCCACTTCTTTACTGCTCCCCTCCGTTTCTCCTTCAGAAACATGTTAATAACTTGGAAATGTGTTTAACCTTCATGACGGTCTGACTGCCTCACACTGATCTATTTTTAGCAAAGTTATTGCTTTTAAAATCACAGCGAGTTCATCCTGAGGTTTCTGCTTTGACTCTCCTGATCCACCGACCTGTCCTCATTCTGCTTCCAGAGTTACAGTAAGAAGATTTGGTAACACTTTATATTAAGGTGCTTGTAATAAGCATTAATAACAGGTAATAAGTCACTTATAAGACCTTATTAGAGTCTTTTATATATAGTTTATACTTATATATATAGTCTCTTTATATACCATCATAAACATTAATAAGATGTTTATTAACATTAATAAGACTTCATGAGTGTTAATTAAACTATAATTAATTTATAATTGGCTTGTAAGATATTAATTAACACAAAGAAACTTGTTTATAGACCACTTATCAATGTTCATAAGATGTTTATTGATAAAACTTTATTAGGTTCATATTAATGCCTTATAAAGGTTAATAAATACTTTATTATGCACTTAATAAGAGTTAATAAAGCTCCTATGTAGGTACTGGATCTAAAGTGGAAACACTACTAATAAAGATTAATAAATATTTATTAAGCATTTATTAACAGCTCAGTGGGAACAGGGTCCAACTTTCAAGTAAACACAGAAACAAAAAGGAGGTCTATTGAACTTCCACTCAAACAGTTTTTGAAAAAAAAAATGCTAGTACAAATACAAGTATTATCTTTAAGGTTAACTGTAAACAACATTATGAAAACATTTGGTGTGTCATAGCTACCAACATATCTGATCAAATTCAGGGGAAAAGCATAGTTGTTTTTAACCCTGGTATTGACAAAATAACCAAATTATGTACTTGAAAACGGGAAACATCCAAGTGCACCAGAGTTCGGTTCGCCCTGTGAGAACGTGGTCCGAACCAAGTGAGGGAAGTTAACCAAAATGCAGTGCATTGTGGGTTAAATTTGGCCACCTGTAAACGATGTCAAATAGGTTTGCTGAGTGTGGCTAACGTTAGCATCGCTAACAACAGCCTTCAGTCCTCCTTACAGGTTAAAGTATTCATGCCTGTGCTAAATGTGGTCACACCTTTTTCTCCATTTTATAGATCAAACTACTGCCAAACTGCGTAGCGCTATTGGATGCCCTTCTTCCACTGTCCTGTTGTTTACTTTCAGGTCATAGCGCAGCATTAGGCCAGATTGCAGTATAGCCACTGACTCAGGCAAGACTGATTCTTTATTGAATCAGGTTTATTGAATTTTTGGTGTCATGGTTTGGTCGACACATCTTTAAAAGATAGAAATTCCTTAAACCAAAGTGTTAAATGGTAAAGTTGGCTAATTGGTGACTCACAGCTCTACCCAGCATCCCTGTTTACTGGACAGTCACAGCGGATAGCTATATACCTCTATCTTAAAGGATGACACCAACCCCTTTGCACAGTTATTTTCAGCTTCTTTCCTGTGGACGGAGGTCCAGCTGGCTGAAACTCTCCCTAGACCAACCGCTCACTACGGCCACATCCAGAACCAGGCAAGCCTCCAAGGCCAGTCTTAATTTGCTTTCTACAATACAGGGATAAAGAAATGATACTACAGTCTGCAAAGAAAATGTCAATACTTCTGGGGAATGCTAAATTCACCATCCGCCAAGATCTGTCTGCAGAAGTTCGCCGAAAGCGCAAGGACTTCGATCGGGTGATAAAAATGCTCATCGAAAGGAGTATGTTCCGAGGGTTTGCATACATCCATCGTCTTCGTGTTCTTCATCAAAACAGTATCGTCTTTTTTGATGATCCAAAAGAAGCAGAAAACTTCGTCATGCAGCTGAAGTAAGTCTCATTTAGACTATAAAACTCAAAACCAAAAGTGGAGGTAAAACTTGATTATTCTACTCCCTTCGTTATGACTGTTAAGACTTATAGGGAGAGGGGAATTGTGAATTTAAAGTGGACACTTCTGTTTAGGTAGCTGGTTCACGCCTTCGTTATTTTTACAGGTGTTTACTTCCTGCAACAATGAGTGACGAGAGACGGTCGATACCATGGTTGAATGTCGGAGCGGAGGGAGGAGGGGATTTTGCAAGACGGTGGCGATAGCCCGGCTTAAATTAGTAGAATTTTTTTTCCTTCTCTCCCCTTACCTTCCCCTCGACTATCACGATTTATGTTATTTGTGGGTTAATTCTTCTTTTTTAGTGTTCTCTTTTTTAGTTTTATTTATGTTACTTAATAAAATCAGTGGCCAACTACATACTTTAAAGGTTATTTATTTTAATGTGCAGCAGTTACCATGTCAGACATGAAAATACATTCATGGAATGTTAAGGGCTTGGGAAATCCATTTAAAAGTAGAAAAATACTAACCCTTCTTAAAAAAGACATAATTGATGTTGCCTTTTTACAAGAAACATATCTGTCAGACAATGACCATATGCAATTAAAAAGGGATTGGTTTGATCAGGTTTACTTTTCTTCATACAAAACTCATAGTAGAGGAACAGCTAAACATCCCTAAACAACAAACAAGTAAAAACATCCCATTCAAACTGCAAAAGTCAGTCACAGACCCAAATGGTAGATTTGTTTTGATATCAGGTTCTATGGAAAACCAGTAACTTTTTAAAATGTCTATGCCCCTAACATCGATGTACCAACATTCATGTCTGACATGGTTCTGCTCTTTAATGAAAACTGTAAAGGATTTGGAGTGATAGGTGGAGATTTCAATTGTAAATTGGATCCTTCTTTGGATAAATCTCATCAAACTAAAGGCTACAGCTCCAAATCCTCAAAGGTCCTTAATGGCTTATGCGCAGAATGTGGCCTCACTGATATATGGCGTGAACAAAATCCAAATGTTAAAAACTATACTTTTTTCTCAAATGTCCATAATTCATATTCACGAATAGATTATTTTTTTGTCCACTCAAAATACATGCATATGGTAAAAGATTGAGGAATAAATCCAATCATAATTTCAGATCACGCTAGAATTTATTTAACTATTCATTTGGAATATGAAAAACATATTTTTAACCGATGGACATTTGATACTTCTTTACTTAAGGATAAAGAATTTAAATCCAAAATGCAAGGGTGGATTGCCAATTACATAAGGGAAAATAATGATCCCCTAATAGAGTCCAATATCATCTGGGAAGCTGCAAAAGCCACTTTGAGGAGACTAATAATTTCATATATTTATTTTAAAAAACGGGAAGAAAGGAAGCAAAGACAAGAACTTGAAAAAGAAGTAGGTAGATGTGAGGCACTCCATAAGACCGCCACCACAGAGTACAGTTTGGGACAACTGATAATGGCTAGAGTTAAATTAAATCTTAACATTTCAGAGGAAATTACCAAAAAAATGAATTATATTAGAGAAAAGTACTATGAATTTGGCAATAAACAAAGTAAATTACTTGCCCATCAACTTAAAAAAAGAGCAATCAGAAAGGGTTATAGCTGAAATTCGCTTGGAAGACAGTAAGATAGATCATAACCCAAAAGAAATTAACAAAGTTTTTAATGACTTTTATAACAAACTCTATGAATCCGATAGTAGTTACTCTCAAGAAGAATTGGATAATTATCTCCAAAGCATGAATTTACCTAAACTTTCTGAATTAGATCAACAACACCTTAATTCGCCATTCACAGAAGCAGAAGTTTGGGCTACAGTTAAATTAATGCCGACAAACAAAAGCCCAGGGCCAGACGGTTTTTCAGACAAATTTTATAAAAGAATTCTGGACTGATCTTCAGTCAATTTTTATGCCAATGATTAATCACTTCTGTCAAAATAAAATACTCCCCAACTCCATGAATTATGCACATATTAGTGTGTTACACAAAAGTGGCAAGGATCCCTTAAATTGTTCCTCATATAGACCTATTAGTCTTCTTGATCATGATTATAAGATTATTATGAAACTATTAGCAAAAAGACTCAAATCTAATCTACCTAAATTAATAAATCCGGATCAATCAGGTTTTATAAAAGGGAGATATGCTGCGGACAATATAAGGAGACTTCTGAATACAGTAAATCATTTGGACAACTGCCGGAAGCCTTCTCTGCTCCTATCCTTAGATGCAGAGAAGGCTTTCGATAGGGTTGAATGGAATTTCCTTTTCTCTGTTCTTCATAGTTTTAATGTGGGCCTTAATTCCATCGAATGGATCAAATCAATTTATAAAAACCCCAAAGCGGCCGTCATCACTAATGGTGCCCCCTCTGAGTACTTTTCTTTGACCAGAGGGACAAGACAGGGGTGCCCATTGTCACCCTTGCTTTTTGCAATGGTGGTTGAACCATTGGCGTCATGTGTACGAGACTATATAAACATTAAAGGATTAAAGATTGATGATAACGAACATAAAAAATTGTTATACGCAGATGATATAATTGTATATATAACAGATCCAGAAAACTCAACATCACATTTATATAGTACAATAAAACAATCTGGAAAATACTCCGGATACAAGATACATTTTAACAAATCTAATGCTTGCCTCTTGCATATGACTCCAACAGAAAACATGTATAGGTCCTATCCTTTCCAATGGACGCCTGGTGGCTTTAAATACCTTGGAATAAATATCACACCAAAATTAGACGATCTATTCAAAGAGAACTACACCCCTCTGATAGATAAGATAAAAGCAGATTTATGTAAGTGGTCAACTCTACCATTATCTCTGTTAGGAAGAATAAATGTTATAATAATGAATGATCTACCAAGATTTAACTTTCTTTTCCAAATGTTACCATGTTATTTATCTGCAGCATTTTTTAAACCTTTAAACAAAGACATTTCTAAATTTATCTGGTCCAATAAGAAACCAAGGATTAGTTTCACAAACCTCATGAAACCAGAAAACATGGGGGGTCTTGGTCTCCCCAACCTCCAGTATTACTTTTGGTCAGCTCAATTACGTAATTTAATATCATGGTCACTGGGGAGACAGGACTCATTGTGGGTCCAGATGGAGGCCAATTTTTTTGATCCCTTGCCTTTGGACTCCCTTATATTTATGAAACAATTTAATAGGATAAAAAACATGGATCAGTTGCTTCACTGTCTTCAATACGCTTGAAAAGACTGTATTAGGACACTTGGTTTCACTAACTATACTTCTATGTATTCTCCTATCCATCAAAATCCTGATTTGAAAAAACATATAACATCAATTAATATAAATGTAGTTTTGGCATAAAACAATTTAAAGATTTGTTTCATAAAAACTTCATCAATCATTCATTGACTTAAAAACTGAATATGGCGTCCCGGACACAGATTTTTTAAAATATCTACAGATTCGGAATGTTGTTGGATCACTAATCAAAGAAAAAAAGTTACGCTTTGGATTATCAGAAATGGAGGATACATTAATTTCCTCAATAACAATTAAAGGTAAAATTAGCGAAGTACATGGTATCCTATCTACAACGGGTCATTCATGTTTTCTAACTTTATTAAATATCTGGGAAAAGGACCTAGGGTTGTTTTTAAATGAAAATATTTGGTCAAACATTTGTGAAAGAATACATTTCCCATATACAAGTAACAAAATCAAGGAAGCTAATTTAAAGTTAATTCATAAAGTCTATCTCACCCCAATAAAGATGCATAAAAACTCAGAAGATAGCTCACCAAAGTTTTGCACGTTTTGGCAATGTGATGTGCTGAAGGACTATTCATTCCTTTACTAAATCTGTTTTGGAAATGGAATTTGATTTAAACCCTTGTCTGTATTTATTAAATGACTCCCCAGATTTTCAGTTAGATAGAAAAAAAACACAGAATATTAATAATTATAACATAATTTGCCAAGAAAAGGAGATTACTTTTTTGGAAAAATGAATCTCTGCCAACCTTTAAGTTGTTTTTGGATCAACTGTCACAATTTTTACCGTTAGAGAAACTAACTTTGGAAAAATGTAACCGTGGCCATATTTTTCAGGACTTTTGGCTTCCATTGATCTGTTGCTTGGAGAAATTTTCTAAAGGTTGTCATCCATGATAATGCAATGATGCTATGATGTTATGATATTTAATTATTATTATTTCTTTGTTTAATTCCCCCCTTTTTTTTGTCTCGTCTTATTATTTTTACTATCATGAAGGGTATTATTAGTATTACTGTTGGGATTGTTTTTGCTTTCTTTTTCTGTGTCTGCATGGAGGCCTATGTATGCAGACATGCATGTATGCAAGTGTTCATGTTGGTGGAGGGAAGGGATATACTGACATTCTATGTACAGTTTGTTGATCGTTGTATACCCATCCCAAATAAAAAGAGATAAAAAAAAAGGTATAATCTCTACAGGTTATTCCTTTTATCATAGAAACCAACCAACTTTAGTTCTTCAACCTTTGATAGCAGATCAGATCAAATAGCACTTCTAAACATTTACAAATGTTTTTACCGCTTGTTGGTAAAAACATTTCCACCCAAGAATGTACAAAAAAATCATTTGTCCTTCTTTTGCTGCATTTATCATTTATCGGTCACTTTTCTCAGTATTTTCAGATGCAATAAACGTATAAAATCCGGTAATTTACACATTTAATGAGGTGATCTTACTGTGGTAACACAAACATTTCAGAAAAGATCTGTGAGACAATGTCCAAATATTTCTTGGAAGCTTTCAGAAAACTCCCGACCTCACAGCTTTACAAAGAAGTCTTTTTCTCAGTCTACGGACCCTTGAAGGGGGCAGGGGTCACCACCGATATTCAATAGGTTCTTCTGCATGACTTACAATGTATACTGTACTTCCTTTTGGTAGTCAATGTTAATTGCATACAGCAGACCCATGAGCATAGCTACCATATGCTACCAATAGTCCTTCATGCCATGCTGCTTGATCTGATGCTCCAGGACGACCTCATCTTCTATCACCAGGAGGATGCTGACGTTCATATGCTTTCTGTCTGTAGATTTACAAAAAACAGAAAAAATAGATATAGCTGTAAATTGTTTGTAATACTCTCTAAGAAACAACCGGCAGATCCCCCATAATCCTTCACTCTGTGAGTGAACTGAGCACAGACACAAAATATGGCAGCGCCCAGTAAGACCTCAGGGTTTCTCTCTTCCTGCAACCCTACCCTGTGGTAACACTTAGGGGAGTTTACAGTCAGCTGAATCAGCGCGTAGAAAACTTGACATAACATTGTGACAAAGTGGGTGAGAAGCTCTTCTATTAATCACCACTTGTCACTGAAGTCTTTATTTAATATCAAATCACATCATTGATTACAGTTGTGTATTTAGCTTGAATTTATTTGTGCTTGTGTAAAATTGCAGTACTTACTGCTATCCCGGGTTTGTTTGTGTTAGCAATAAGTTTCAGTTCACATCAAAGCATAAATTAACTTAAAGCAAACACACAGTCTTACTTTGTTCAGTCATTTTTATTTAGTTTCTGGAACTGCGAAGTATCTTTGATTGTCTTATCCATACTTACCTCTGTTTGTTCTTTTGTTCAGTTTCCCACGTGGTTCCATGCAGCTAAAAGGGGATAGCCCAGCACTTCCTGGGTATTTATCAGATTGATGATGTCATCTCTGACATCACTGGGACAGACCATTTTGAAGGGGTTTTATTTCTGAGAAATGTTTTCTTTCTAATAATTTCTTTCATGTTTGAGTAACTGGTAGAATGTAATTTAATTATTGATAGTTAATTTAGTTGAGTAAATGATCTGAGGTTAATTTAAGGGTTTATGTAGATTTCTTTGCTTTAAGAGAAAAGTGTAAACCCACTACTTGAGTTGTGCTGCACACAGCTGCGGCCATTTTGTTAATGGGGCCATCTATAAAGTCAGGAGACGTGTGCTCTTGCATGAGGAGAGGTGAGGACGTGCTGCCTTTGAAATGTGTCTTAGTCTGATTTAATCATGAAGTAAGTTTGTTTTCTTTTCGTCTGGGTAAGGACACTCTGAGTCTTTAGGACCTTCACTTGTGGTTCGTGATTCACTGTTGGCCCGATCTGGCCGTTCATGACTTTAAACTCACCAGAGTGCGACTCAGTCTCCATGGTGACGTATGTATCAGTGATGTAAAACATACTGCATCTGTGATTTATACAGAGAAATGGGACTCAAATAATGATGGAATATCTGTTTCACAGCCAAGACAAAAGCGGCATGAGCATGAGTACACTGACTACACAAGACGACTGTCAGGTTGTACAAACCCTTTTAAAGAACTGTGATTTTCACGAGGCTGTCCTGAACTCCACATAAAGCTTTGATGATTTTTCAGATCAACTCACTGCAAATACGATTTCTGCCCTCGATGGCTGTTTGTTACTCTGTGGACATGTCTTCAGTCTCCTGTCTCATCCAGACAAAAATAAACATGGTAAACAATCAACATTTATTACAGTGGTAAATGGATCTTGCATGCATTAAATGTAAAGATTTCTTCACATTTAAGTAACATATTTAACTCCTGATTTTGCACATAAAGACGCCATAGTGCCAACATGCTCATCCTCAGTTGGCTCAAAACATCACTTAATACATCCTTCAAACTGGAGCTTCTTGTTGTGCAGATCTTGTTTTTACTTCCCTTGCCTGCTCAATACTTAAGAATGTGATAAAAGTTTTAACATACTAAGCGGTTTTTGTTTTTCTATTGTTTTTTTGTTTCTCAACAATAGTTGACAAGAGCAGGGCGGCTGTGGCTCAATTGGTAGAGTCGGTTCAATCCCCAGCTGGCCAAATGTCCGATGTGTCCTTGGCCAAGAAACTTAACCGCAAATCGCTCCCGCTACTTCATGGTGGGAATTAAATAGGATTAGTTACTTCTGATGGATGATGCTACATAGCGATCATCACTACCATGTGTGGTCTAGGTGGGTGTGACATGCGGTGTAAAAGCACTTTGAGTAGTTGGAAGACTAGAAAAGCACTATATAAGCTCAAGTCCATTTACCATTTAGCCTGTTTCTTCTGTCATCGTCAGATGCTTCACAGAGGGTTTGCCTGAGAACAGGTACTTTACTTTATTTGGATGCATTTTGTTTCTTCCATTTTTAAATATTTTTTATTAACATTTTGTGTTCACACTATATTATAAAATGCCCATTGTGTCACAAATGCTCATCTTCTTTGTCCAGATGCAATCATAAAACATTTAAAAACCATCCCTGGGCCATCTGTTACAATTTCTGCTCCCTGCCCTGTTTGATATTGTTTGTTCTGTTACACTAATATTTCTTATAAATAAAAATAACTAGAGTTATTACCATTTTATTCATGTTTGTTTAGAAGTATTTTTAAAATAAAGAAATTGAGTTTAATATAACAATGTATGCCAGATTTCTTTAAGTCTATGAATATTGTCTTTGGTGGTCAAACTGTCTGCAACATAAGGGTCAACCAAAATTGTTATGGCCGGCTCTATGTCTACAACTTAAAGGTCACATATTATGCAAAATACACTTTATCATGATGTTCTTACTCTAATATGGGTCCCTAGTCTGTCTACAAACCCCCCAGTTATTAGCAAAGTAAATCCTCTTCTTTTGCCTGCTCCACAGGGGTTACTGCAGCTAGGTGTTTGTTCTGCCCTCCGAGTTTGCCTTCTCACAGTAAAAAAACTTGGGCATGGAGCGAGAAAGTCCACTCAAAGAGTCACGTCCTGTTTCAGAGAGGGTCGGGGTCAGCTGCAGACACAGAAACAGACTGTTCTGAGCAGATAAGATAATATCTGCAGATATTGTCGGCTGGCTGATTTATCGGTCGAGCTCTGGATGATAGTGCAGCCTTTACATGCGACTGACATATAACCACATAGTCTAGTCCGAACCAATCACAGTTAAATGTTCACATGCTGAATGAAAGCATTGCTTGTCTGCATAAATAAAATTTTATTCTGACTATAGCGATGTAACTGCACTTACTTGCACAGTCCTATAGCCTACCCTGACCTTTGTTTTAATTTTGTTCTTTTTAAGGAGGATTATTATGATTCGAAAGAGGTGGAGAATCTCAAGTCCCTGGTGTCTCACCTCCTGGACCTGCACAAGAAATATGACTGCAGCTATTCCCTTTCAGTCTATGAGAAGGTGTGTCTTTCATGAAAAACTCATTTTACGATATACAAATGTATGACGGAGGATTAGGGCCACGCAAAAAAAAAAAAATCTAAAATGAGATTAAATTTGTAAATCTACGAGATTAAAGTCAGAAATTTACGTGAATAAAGCTGTAAATTTATGAGATTTAACGATGCCCAAATCCTCCGTCGTACAAGTGTATAAGATTCAAACAAATCTGAAAATTCACAGAAAACAAGGTTTTATTTTAAGAGATAATGCTTTGTGGTGGTGTATCATGAATTAAACTGTTTTGGAATATATCTTTGCTGCCTCGTCCATCTTGTATGTTAATCACTGATGTTTTTTCGACGGCATTTTAAGCTGGTTTTGGCTGTAATATTCTAATTGAATTGACTTTAACAGGAAAGTGTACGGAGTTTGGAGTTCTTCATGCTTATCGCCACCACAGTGGAAAGCAGTATCCTGCCTCGTGACGAGCTTCTTCTACAGTATATCAAGGTAAGTCAACACCACTTGATGGAACATTAGCCTTTGTGCCCTCCTCAAATGTATTCATGTTTTTCTGCTGTGAAGTTACAACAACTTCCAACTTGCTAAAAACTACCAAACATTCCATTATTTTCTGGAAAGTTAGTTCCAGAAAAGTTAGTTAAATAGTGATTAGATTCTTGTACAAGACTAGCAACAAAGTTGATTTGCTTTGTGGCCAAAATGTACATACAAAACCTGCAATAAAACCATACATTTTTTCTTTTGTATAATTTTCTGCTTTCTTTTCTGTTCTTTCTACGGCTTTTGACGGTAGGAAAGAGGGAAAGAGGCGTGAGAGTTCTCCCTCGCCCCCGGTCTCAGGTGCGTGAGAGACAGGGCGGCTGCGTGAGAACTCTCGCGCAAAAAAAAAGTGTCTCTGGTCAGATAAATAAAAAATGAATGAATAAGTAACTTGAGGTTATAGCAATGATTATAATGTTCTTCCACAACATCATCATTTGCATCATTATTATCACTACCAGCCACAACAAATTTGCAGTATTATAATAATAATAATACCATTGGAGACAGCAGGGTGTGCCACAAACCCTCCCATAGAAAACCCTTAGTTCAGAGAGCTGGGGCTCTAATTTACTATGCACACATATGACGTAGTAGAGGACCTGCACTTCACATATTTTTTTTTAAGTGCTCAAGCCTTGTGATAATGTTCCATCCCATGTTGCAGATGAGCACAAATAACAGTTGCACTAACAATAGATGGACCACCTGTCTCTGTGAGCACGGTGGGTTCGACAGAGCTATATTATAAACGTATAATATTGAGTTAACACAACATTTTCGTGGACTTGAAGTAAAACTAACTTGGAATTGTATGTTATGACTTTTTGTTTTTACAGTGAGTTTTGGTTAAACGGTTGTATATTGTCCTTTTAATATTTTAGTTTGAAAAAATAAATCATACAATAATATAATGCCCATTTATGTGCAAAACCTGTCTCTGTATACTGACTCACAATAACCTGCTTTTGTAACAATTTGGAAACTCTTGGAAAATATTTGCATGAACAAGATTTAAAAATAAATGACTCAAAGTCGGAATAAGTTTGCCTCTGCTTCTTCAGAATTGACCAGCTGTTTTGATATACTGCTTGTGGGTCCTAAAAAGTGTACGCAAGTGCAGAATGAAATCCTTTTGAAGCATCCTTGAGTTAACCCTCTGTTTATAACGGTACTCATCTCTCTGTCCTCTCCTTCTTGCTTCTTCCTCTCTCATCCTCTTCTCGCAAAGCAGAAATAAATCTGTTTCCAAACATAATGGAGCCCTCCAGGGGTCCAGGGGTGCAATTGACAACTAATTTAATAAAGTGTACACATGAAATAAACAAACATTTGAAGTGTCTAAGCCCAGTCTTTTTCGTTGGGGTTCAATCCAGGTGTGTGTTTCTGTTTAATCTGTGCTTCTGCTCTATGAAGTAGCGAAGGAAGTTCTTTCTTAGAAGAAACAGTCGTCTTAATCCCACTTGAGGTCTCGAAGGTTGGGCTCACTATCCAGTTAGCTGCTCACAGTTCTATGGTAGATGGTCTTCTGGATGTGCCCAAAACCTGACCTACAGACAGGTCACACCACCCCTATAAAGATAAACATGCACATCAGCATCAACACAGGCTTCATCTCAATTTAAACACTTAACACCAAGTATTAAAATATGTTTTTATTCACAATTTTCCATTAGCTCTGTTGTACTACAAAAAAGGTGAAAGATTTTCTTTATCAATTTACTGTTGAGCTTTTTATTGATTAGACAACATAGGACACTTAACTGTAACAACTGTAATGCTCTCAAGTCTCACGATTAATCAACTTAATGCATTTAACCAGTTATTTGCTAGATTTGATCTGGCTGCAGGGCTTATCCAATAGAGATCCTTGGTGATTTACGAAGGCCACTTCATTGTTGTGCAGGGTTGGGAGGTCCAATGTCCCGATGGGAGATGACTAAGAGGACCTCAGGAAACCCTTACACTGGCAAATAATAACATTTCTTACATCTGAAATCTTTGAACTTGAAACACATTTTTGACATCCACAGTTTATTGCATTCCTTTATTCCCATCCATCACTTCTCAGCTGATTCTATTAAAGACAACATTGTAATATGTACAAACAGAGGAAATCATTTTCTGCAAAAACATGGAGAAAGCAGAGTTAAGGTATACAAAGAATGCTGTTCAGAGTGCATATCATAGACAAGTGTGTTTCAAATATATAACAAAGGTGGGGGTTTTGACGGAAGGTCTTCATTAAGTGCCCGATTCACTAAGAATGAATTTCGACCGTCAATAGCGCCACAAAATGTCTCATTATTTGTCTTTCTATCTGCTCCATCTCAAGGTCTAATTCACAAACCACAAATTCACTTCTACAAGATCTTCAACTAAGTCCAGTTCCCTTTGGATCAAGTTTGATTTTCCATGACCTGGATGATTGAGAACCTTCACAGACGGCTACTTACATGTACAAGATACGATCAGTAAAGACATGAATCGTCCTGCTCTTTCCACAGGGGGCACTAAAATCGACACAACCCCATTCCCTCTAAGGCCGAGCGCAGTCCAACACTAAAGGTGAGAAAAGAGAGGAGGGGAACCATCATATAATCTATGTGCCTCACTGCCTCCCTCTCTCTAGTCCAGCTCTACAGGAGGCATTCATGATCTGATGTGGGACCTGCCCTTTAGTACCCCAACCAGCTGTAACACAGCATTTGCAATAATAATAGCAGATGTTGGACCGCCCATTGTTCACCCCCGACCAGCTCTACCTCTCAAAACCAGCTATAGTCCTACAAGCGGGCGGCCCAGGTCCATATCCGACCTGTGGTTCCTTTCCTGCACATCATTCCCCGCTCTCTCTCTCTCCCTGATTTCAGACTCTATCCTATCTCTACAGTAAAGGCTCAAATAGCGTGTGTGTGCGTGTGTCCGTGTCCCTGTCCAACATTTGTTTTAGCACAAAGCGCTGAACACCAGAAGTATAAAAATCCAACTATGATGGATTTTAGATCAACACACAAATCTTTCTTCAACACATGAAGAGCGGCGTGATGCCGTCATAGATTCATCTTCTGATTCTCTTCTCTCCAGGTGACAAAAAATAAATAAAGTAAAGCATTTGTCAACTCTTTTTCAAACTTGTTTTCTTTGTATTTCAAAGATTTAAATTTAAATTCCCAACTCTGATCACTTCATGTCTGATACGATGAGAGCCAATGAATTCTGAGGAGAGCGTGTCGGTCTGCTCCTTGTTTCAGTGCAGAACGTACCCGTAAACCTTTAGAGAAAAAGACAGAAGAAAGAGAAAACATGACATTAAAAAATATTTATCATCACTTTTTTTATAGAATTTATCCACAAATCCAGGTTTTAACATCAAGGTCAAAGGTCACAGTGATTTCATCATTGAAGCACCTTTCTTTAAATCATCTCCCTTCACTTCAAA